GTTTGAGTCCAGGGCTATTCCGTTCTTTCCGCTTCCTCCCTTCTCAAACTGTCGAATGTACTCTCCATCTGCTGTGAACACTTGTACTCTGTGGTTCATAGTATCAGCAATGTATACATTCCCAGTGCTGTCAAAACTAACTCCCCATGGACTACTAAACTGCCCATTGCCTGAGCCACTGGAGCCAAATGTCTTGTAAAATGTCAGGTCTTCATTGAGGATCTGGACTGGCCATTACCAACATCTGTAACATATATCTTCTTGGAATGAGGGTGCACAGCAATACCTATAGGGCTAATAAACTGCAGAGGTCCACTGCCTCTGGTGCCAATACATTTCACTGACTTTCCATTAGGATGGAAGACCTGAATTCGATGATTGCATTGGTCGGCCACCAGAATATCTCCAGTTGCAGAAAGAGCTACACCATATGGGCCACTCAGCTGACCTGGACCAGAGCCTTCGCTGCCAAATGATCTGACCTTTTCTCCAGAGCCACTGAATATTGTTACACAGTGTCTGACATGTTCAACTACCACTAACTGTCCCTTATTGTCGAGAGCTAAACCCCAAGGATATTTGACGCCAGTGATGATATTGGTGGGTGTGGTGGTGATGACAGAGAGAGGGAATGGACTTCCTGAGATGTGTTTGTCTCCTACTCTGATGTGGAGGTAGTGTGGTCCTCTGTGCTGGGGGAGGTAGCCGATCTCGAACTCCCCGTCTCTCACTTTCTTTGCCTCTCCTCTCACTCGCCTGGACCCATCACTGGACACCAGTTCACAGCTCACCTCCACTGGACGACTGTACTTCCTCCCCTTCCACTTCACCGCCTCCACTGTAGCTGTGGTTCTCTCTCCTACTACTGCCAACTTGAGTCCATCGCCTTCAGCACTACACTTGACTACGGGAATGGCAAAGACTTGTCCGTATTGCTGGCACATCTGAAGCAGTTCATTCTGACTACAGTTGAATTCCAAGTTAGCTTGTTCCTCTGGTTCCAAGGACTCTGGCTTGATGGAAGATGTCACGTCTTGAACCTGCTGCAGAAAAGGTTTGGCCATGGCTAGGATTTCTACCTGACTGCCAGTTCTCAGGCTCTCCTGCAAGAACCCACAGCAGCTCTTCAACCGAGTGGCAACCAGTTCCAACTGGTCTTGCTGGGCAGCTACATTCTTCAGCTTCTCCCGAGTCATCTGGTCCAGCTGTGAGACGAGGACTTCTTCTCTTGCCTCGAGAGCTTGGTGGCCGAGGCGAATCTCTGCCCTAATCTTGGTCTCCAAGGCCTGGCGTTGGCTGGTAATTTCCACAGACAGAGACTTGAGGTCCTCCAGAGCCTTGTTGACCGAGGCTAGCTGCTGCTCTACTGGCTCAACTGAGGAAACCAGCACCTTCTTCTGTTGTGGGAATGCGTCGGTTGCCAGATCGTACTGGTGGTCGCGATGGATTTTCAAGACACAGTACTGGCAGATGACTTCTTTACAAGTCTCGCAGTAGAGGTCTAGCTCTTTGGTTGGGTGTTTGGAGCAGTTCAGAGTCTTCTGGACTGGAGGCACAAGATTAGTTGCGTCTGCTGTTAGCTGGTCCAGGCTGACTAGCTCGTGAGAGGAAAACTCTTTCCATTCAGAATGAATATCTTTGCATTTAGCGCAGAGGAACCCACAGGACCGACAATAACAAGCTGGGTCTCGTTTTTCGCATTTGGTGCACTTGATACCAGCGGGGGTGCTGACTTTCTTGAGGATGTCTTGGATGTCAAAGAGGTGGTGGATGAGGAAGGCTCCCTGCAGGCCAGAGACTCCTTCCTGGGGCAGGGAGGTGAGGTGGCGACAGTTGGGGCACTCCACCACCTGTCCCTGTGGGGTCTGGCGTGCCACTGGCTTCAGGCACTTCTCACAGAAGACATGGAAGCAGTGGAGGAGTTTGGGGTCTGTGTACTGGTCCAGACATATTGGACAAGTCAACTCTTCATTCAGTTTCTCTAGCGCTTTTTCAGAAGACGAAGAACCCTCAGCCATAGCTATCAAGAACAAGCCAGAGCAAATGCACAAGCCTCAAGAACTGAGAGAGAAGGCGGCCTCACTTATTTATGTGGAGGGCACTGTCAAAACATTACCATTTTAGGCTATATTTCCACTGACCACTAAGTGGTAGAGTGAAAGACCAACCAATGAGAGAGCAGGACTCAAGAATATTCACAGCAAGGGACCAGTAGGAGTGCATGGGGTGATATGAACAGACTATGCCCATACACCACTCCTTTCCACCTACTGCATTATCTGTGCCACACACAGGCAGCCTTAACACAGTTCTTGTTAGGTAAGAAAATTATGGTGTGAAAAGAGGTCTGCAGGTTTTGCTTGCAAGAAGTCAGACAGTCAAAATACACTTTTGGTGACGAGTGTTCTATGTACATGCAATAAGATATTTTGGGCCTGTCATGTACAGTAGTACGTATGTAGATATAAATCATGGGAGCCTGGATTAGGGAGGCACACCACACAAGTGTGAACTCACAGCAAGAGGGGAGAGATTGAGACCACTGTCAACTAGCTTCTTCTCCAGCTCACTCACCTTCAGAGCACCCATCTATAATACAGTAACATAAGGACAAGTTACACATACATGTAGAAGGGCCCGTAATACACAACCACATTGTACATGTATTGCTCACTAAATGCACTGCAAAACACAAAATTGTGCTGCGAAAAAAATCAAGATTCATGGAACAAGAATTTTATTTCACAGCTTATCAGCAAATATTTCGGTACTATCTATTCTCACCAGCCCTTACAGCAGCCCTATGCATTCTCAGTATATACTATGAATTGTGCTACATGCAGACTGCCATTTACACAGTGGGTACCATTTGTACTAGGAACCACCCCTGATCAGAGCACTGTCAAAACTACAACCACCACAACAGCAGTTCTCTGCATTCTCCTCTCTACTTCACTACCATATTGTACCAAGAAATTTCAGGGCTAAAACTAACTTACAGCAGAAACTGTGCAAGTCTAATTTTGAGCAAGTCTAATTTTGAGGAGGGAACCATTACAACAAAACAAGTATATATTCTGCAAAGTTTCCCTACACAATTTTTTCACTGATGCACATTCATTCATTCTCACAGCAGTCCTATGGAGGAGGGCTGCAGTGTCACTATATCTCTCTCTTGGTATGGAGCAGTGCTGTAGAATGGCCTCCAGCAGCTTCATGTGGTTCACCAGAACAGCAAACTGCCAGTGCTGGGGTCGTGGAACTTCCGACAGGATCTCCGACACCGCGTACATCACCTCTGCATCTGGCACCAGTCTAGGGTGGGTGGGCGGGACGGGGAGAGATTGGGAGAGATTGGGAGAAGAAAGGGGAAAGAGGGAGCACTAAAAGAGGAGTGCGAGAGAGAGTAAACAATCCACACTGTGTCGCTATGCACCATAAGCCAGATGTATCCTGGGTCTGAACACACCTTCTGCTACAGTGTACATATGAAATTGCCATAGTGAGTTCCTTTAGAGGCTGTGATGCATTAGCAATCAGGGGATATCAAGAGACCACCAAAGTATATACATTTTCTCCTTTTTCACTAGTGAAATGGACTGACTTGATGTTGTCAGAGTGTGGAGGAGACGGAGTGACAATGTCAAACTGAGCCTCAAACTGCTCACGTGGGTGTGCCCCCAGCACCTTGCTCTCATGGTACACTGGACCGATGGTATACCTGTGGGTGGGCGAGATACATATGGAGGGAGTATGGTGAAAGGAGTGAAGAAACAGGAGGGATTTCAGGAGGTGTGGAAGTACAGGGGATAGAAGACAAACACGGGAAGTATACTACATATGTATAGACAAAGAGGAAGCAGAAAGTCACATTTTAATTTCACGCCATGGATACTACACTACAAGGGAGGCAAGGTGCAGAGGGTAATCTCTATTGTGAGATGTAGAGAGAATAAGCATGTAAATAACTATTGCAAGTAGAGGAAACATGAAAGAAACATTTATAGTAGTTCCTGTGTGTTTAGTCACTATCATTCATGAACTAATGGAGGACTATTTGTACACCATAATCGCAATGTAAACACACAGAAGGTAAGGTTCACAATACGTCACATTGCCATGTCGCACCGTGCTACATCGACAGGGCAATGCGACATATTGTGAACCCAGCCTTGGGAGAAAGAGAGAGAGCCTACCTTTTTAAGTAGGTGAGGTCTTGCTGGTGCAGCAGATAGTGGGCCAGTGGGAGACGATGGTCACTGGGGAGGGTCACCACGGCCCCGTTCCGTTCTATGAACTGTGGTATGGACTGGGGACTGGAGTAGAGGTGGCTGGAACGGGGACAGAGCAGTGGAGGCTCCACACGAGATGCCCTGCAACACGTGTATGCACAGCGACTGACATTATGTACACGGCCCACACTGATGTATGGTATGATGGTCCACTCAACTGAAATAGAAGTGTTGCCTATTGCATACTACACATGTTGCATGGACCTGTATATATGTATCATACCCATACATTGAAAGCGTATGGCTCAAAGTTGTGTGGTGGTTGTTGGCCTAGTGTAGAGTCGTCCTACGTACCATGTCTGGTAAAGATGGCTGCAAGTTTGGACACAACCATTTGTTGCAGCAGAGAATACACCAGAGAGAACTTGTTCTGAGAGAGAGAGAGAGAGAGAGAGAGAGAGAGGAGAGGAACTGCTTCAACATGTGCCCAGTTTAAGCTCCAAGAGCACACCCTGCGCTCCATGCAAACAGTAGCAAAGCTGGCATATGTCTGCAGAACAACATGGACTTGTGTCAACACACAGATTCTCACTCTCTTGGGTCTGTCTCTCTTGTTGTCTGCAGGCTCCTGGTAGAAGGACCACGGCCTCAGTTGAGGAGCATCTCCCGAGAACAGCTTGTCAATCAGATGTTGGTAGCGAGTGGAGTTGGTGGACTGACGGAGAAGAGGGAGGGGAGGGAAGGAAGGTAGAGAAAGAGAGGAACATAAAGCGTGAATAGTACTAGCAAATGGCTGAATAGCAATGAGTGAAATAAACATGAGCTTCAAGGGGGGTTGGTAAAGTTACCAGAATGAACATCCTACTGGTTCCTATCGTTTAGTTCTAAATCTAGCCCTCACGTATTGCAACATTCGTAAAATGTAGCAGACTAAACCCTCCACAAAAAATCTAGTTTCAGCACTGATGTTGAGACCTGCATGGTTCTTGAGAGGACTTCCTCAAACTGTTCGTCCTCCATCTTGAGTGGCAGGAGGTGGGACTGGAGTAGATCCTTGGCCGAGGGTCTGGAGTGATGGTCGTGCATCAACAGCCACCGGATCACCTCCACCTGCACACACACACACACACACAACACATGTTTTACACATGTGAGTATCACAAGAGTAAATACATCACCCAAGATCCTAGAGTAACAAACCCACTTCCCCTTAGGAAATTCCATACCTATGACATCACAACTCTCCTCTATAAATACCCCACTTTGCGTTAGTAGAACCATAGGATTGCAAGTCCCCCAAAGGTATGTGACTGTAACTACTTCAGTACAGTACTGTAAATGTGTAGATTTTACATAAGAGTCTGTGACATAGGATGTGTGGGGAGAGTTGGCTAGCCATAAAAGATCTTTAACCCACCGTCCCCAGTTCTCAAGGCTGGGCATCCATGTCCTACTCTTGTGCTTGTGTACGTAGAACATACACACACATACTGTTCCGCTCTCGATGTTCCCTATTACTTCCATAACTTAGGTGTCCTTACAAAATGTATAATATCATAAAATAACACACAAACCATGGAGTAGAATAATAGCTCAATATTGCCCAATATACGTCCCCAAGTAGAGTAGAAGTGAGTCAACAGTTAAAGATGCATACACTTTGGACCACTAGGCAGCCACACGCGGTGAGGTTGGCACACACCTCCCACAATCTAGGACTATCTTCCTTTTATTCCCCCAATACCCAACACACACACACACACAGCCATGCTTACACAAACTAACACTGACTATCATAGCCTTATACATACGTCTGTGATGCTTTTATGTATACCTTGCTGATCCATACTTAGTCAATCCTCTTGCATAATAGCATATTGTAATCCCCGTTAGGCCTTGACCTCTGTTATCACAGTACGTGTCTCAAGTTACATACATTCAAGACTGACCATGAATAAGAGTCACAGTATAGTCGGCCTGACAACTCTGGAGATCAGCCAGCTTTTTTTGCAGTTGAACCCAAAAGGACAATATTATACTTAATTTTATTTCATGGGTGTTAACCTGACTGAACCTACTCCGTCACCAAGCAGTGTAGTGCATGATGTAATCAAACATAATAAGAATTCCTGATTAACCCTCCACAAACAAACAGTTAAAAACCTAAACAGTGATCAATTTCTGATTAACCCACACAAACAATTTAACCACCACGGAATTAAAAAATGTAATAAATAAACATACACACATTGTGAACTGGGTGACTCATTGTATGAATGTTTTGTGACGGACGAGGTCACGTGACCAAGTGTGAGGATCATGTGATACAGCAATGATGTCGCATGCATGATTGAGATCATGAAGCAGTGATGTGAAGGTTGCCGAGTGACTCGAGAGAGTTCAGAATAGTCTGACAGTGTTCCGAAGAGTGGCTGTACACAAATACCATGGACACTCTGAGCAGAGGGGGAGAGAGGGGAAGAGGGGGGAGGGGGGAGAAAGAGAGAGTGGGAAGGAGAAGGAGGGGAGGGGGAGAAAAAAACAAAGGGTTCTAATTAATTGGCCAGTGAAGCAAGACCTCGTTGTCTGTATGTGAAATTTGTCCGTACAGGCACTGCCACACATCATACGTCATTCTAAATAGGTACGCGTGAAACACGTTTCACATGTAATATCGCACCTTTTCTGCAGCAGTTCCTCAATACTCTCGCAGACTCTAGTGACGTACTTCTTGTTTAGTGCCGAGTGTCTGGAGAGAAACGACATACATTCATTGGCACTAAGATAATTGTCACGGCTTATGTGAGGGAGAGATTCTTGTGCTCCTGTCATCTCGGATGAAATGATAAAGAATAGTAAATATTTTGCATACCTCTCGGTGAGGGACTTGACAACCGACACCATATCTCCGCCGTCTGGTCCACATATCTTTCTCTGGAACCACGGAGAGAAAAAGAGACACGAAAGGGACATCGCTTACATCAACCATAGCCGAAATCCCCAAGCCGAAATCCCCAAGCCAATAAGTATCTTGGTCAAGACACACCAAGACACTTGCGTGTGGCAATGCTCCATTGCACTTTATCCCTATGATAGTCCATGCAACACACAATACAAAAGGCTCTATTTCTTTTCTCTACGGACTTCATATATACCCACACATGACGTTACTGCATAAGATTTTAACTCACGCAACAACAAAGGGCCTTCAGACTAACAAGACCACCATCATGTGTACCATAATCCAAATGTACATGATGCACAGGCATAAACAGGAAGGCCTAGGTTCCGAAGCTATACCGTCCCTATTCCAAGTATTGGGCAGTAGTCATGCTTTAGTGACGCACACACACACACCGTTTCACAAGAACGGTGACACATGCACACACACACACACACTCAAATTCCTGTTATCAGGATCAGTTTTCAGAACAAATCCTTAGTGTGGGGACTGCCATTAGCCGTCCCGCCAAATGAGGAATCATGAGCAGCTATATAGAGAGAGAGCTTACATTGACTTCCGCAGCCAAAGAACACAGGACATCACTTTTAAGGTCCACCTACGCACAAACAATACCATTCGTCCAGCATTATGATGGTACACAGAGGGACAAATGCACCATGCAATATAGCAGACACTAAACCCTATACATTGCACATGCATGGAATAGTTTGTCATCCACTTGCCTATACTCAATCAACCGGCATGAAATCATGTAAACAGTTCAAATTCTACAAGCATTTACTTGACATTCGAGCAACCTATTCCACGTATTTTCATGCGTATCACAAGACACACAGGGTCTCTCAGCCACTGTATACACCCACCACCAATATCTCCAGAGGCTGTTTGGAGGGAAAGGTCTCCAGCAATGGCAGCAGCTTTGTCAGAGTCTAAGAGATAAATTGAAATGGGAATAGGTATATACGTAGACTCTGGAGAGAGTTGGAAGAGTAAAAAATGAGTGGAGCACTTAGAAAGGTTCACATTTTGGGTGGTTGGAGTGAGTACAGTGAAACCTCTGAATAAGGGACACTTTGGAGACATTTAAAGTGTCCTTTATTCAGAGGTGTCCTTTAGTCGGAGGTAATATAATGCACTAATGTATTAGTATGTGGCAGAACCAAGTGTCCCTTATAGAGAGGTGTCCCTATGTATTAGTATGGGGCAGAACCAAGTGTCCCTTATAGAGAGGTGTCCCTATGTATTAGTACGGGAGAGAACCAAGAGCCCCTTTAGAGGGGTTCTTTTCAGAGATCTTTCAAAGAAAGTAACAAAGCAGAGAGGCTTACAGCATCATGGATCTTTCTCTTGTTGTGGCCACTCAGCTTAGAGGTCGACAAAACAGTCACACTGACTGGTGGTCGTGCGTTGGAGGGAAACGAGTCTGAACCAGAGGGGCCTCCCCCTGATCTGGTGGTTGTCTGAGTCTCTACGGAGTCGCTGCGGTCCGTACTGTATCTCTGCTGCAGGAGAACCTCTGGTAGCTCCGCCACGCCCATGACCCTTTCCGACGTCTTCCCGTTGGCCTCCAGTGACCTCAATCTAACCTGCTTCCTCTCAAAAAACAGCTCCTTGTCACTCAACACCACGATGTGCGGTATCAGACTCCGGCGGCAGAATTCCTGGGAGGAGAAGGATTTAATGTCCTCTCAAGCTATTATTGGAACTCGGATATCATTCAGCCGTATCTACACGAAGCACCGGATCCCCCATAAGTGAATGCCGGCTCTCAATGATTTCAATACTACTGTATGTGAACTGTGAGGTGAACCCTTTGTGCGTGGTGGCTCTATCGTAAACAACTGTCTGTTCTACAATTCTATAGCTGCAACTAACTCGGTCCTTTGGTATTGCTCTCTTCCCATGTGCACAGACCTTTACAACGGGCATACCGTTTGTCAAATTGTGTGTTTGTGAGTAAGAGGAGTTGTGGTACAGTTTTTCTTTTTCAGCTACTGTAGTGTGCCAATTATATATACATACTGCTGCTCATCTTCATAGAATCTCCTCTAAAACTCTAGTAATTGCCTTCACAGATCGAGTTTGCGCACTTTGCATTCCAAATGCCTAATCTCATTCCTGACTGAAACTCTATGGCATGCTAAGCCAATATTAACCATATGGAGTATGTATGTATATAAGAAGCCAGAGAGCCTTAAGCATGTCTATTAGTACCGGTAGCGTTGAATAAAGAATGACTTTGCTGAGCTGGATATAGCCTGTTTGTCTGCAACTGGAGTTGCCAAGTATACATCTGGTATCCCATCAGTACAATACATTCGGTAGGGTTCCATAATGTGCAGCACAATTTGCAGTGCGAGTATCTGCCTTCTAGTGAATCTGACATGCATTGCCACCTCAAGTTTCCATTGGTAGCAATACACTAGAACAATTCTCTGATTTCATATGAATCACTATCCTATTACCAATTTGTAGGACACAAAACTCGTTTCGTACATATTTTAGCTCTTATCCCATTACATGGTAGGGAACTCCTTTCCATAGCTCTTATGCATAACACACTGCCCCGCAAAATTTGCGTTTGCTACCAAAATTTTTGGTAGGTTCTTCATGTAAGCCATCACGAAATATAACACCTTACGTCCTATTCCCATTTTACATCTATACACAAGTTTTTCTCCTTCCAATGTTTGGTACCACATGTAGCAGGTAGTGTGAACTACCTGAATGTCTTCCAGGGAGTCTAGCTCCTGGTTCTCGTACACCAAGTCAGCTGCCACCCCGTGAGACCACAGCTGCGTGATCAGCTTCAAACACTGAGCCTGCAGTGACTCGTGCCCCAGCCAGCACACCAGGACACTGCTCTTGGTCACTGGACACTGGGGATCACGAGAGGAGGATGAGGAGAAGGAGGAGGATGGGGAGCAGTTGATTAAACTTTGAATACTTGGTGGACTATGAAATCATAATGCATAGCGCAATCTGATTGGCCAGTTTGCTGACACGTGCACAAGTTCTTGCGTGCTACGCATGTTGCGCGAGCGTACTACATTTGATGCGCATGCAACATTATCCTGGATAATGCTAGGTATGCAACTAACCATACATTGTGTATACATAATATTTTACCCTTCCATGTTGGTATTCAGATGTCACGCCCCTCATAATCTCCTCCCCAACCACACCCACGCCAACCACGCCCATTCTAGGAGAGACTCCGCCCCCACTGGACTTGAGGCCACTCAGCAGTCTGTCGTATCTTCACAGATACATACATACATACATACATACACCACAGTAGACATTATGCACTGAACAAAGAGATGGCGAGATTCAGGATAGTGAGATAGAGGCGAGATAGGGAAAAGGTTAGATAGAGATATAACTCTGACAGTGAGTGCCTTGCTTTCATCCCGGTAGCTACCTTTGACTTTATTAATAGCTCAAACTTTGATACATTTTTGTAGTAAGTAGGAAGCTACATAATACATTCATCCTCTTACGCTAACTAAAGGAGTTTTTATACTTTTGGTGGCAGTATACACTGTGCACCCGCCTGCACATGTTAGTCCTACAAGTAAGTGGTTATGGTTGTGCTTTCGTGCAGTAATATTGAAGCCCAATCACTCTGCTCTTCTGTCTTTGTAGGTAAACTGTGAGCTAAAACTGCAGATATCTCTGCCAATGCACTAAATCGGAGTAAAGGTTGGAGCATGCAGCCGACTCTGGCAGAGGAGTTCTAGTGCTAGAATGGTAGGTACGTACATCGCAATGTAGTTGTGAAGCCAAGAAGGACAGACAGACGCCTGCACGTTAGTCCAAATAAGTCATTATGGTTGTGTTTTGTACAATACTATTGAAGCCCAATTATCCACTCTGCTCTTCTGTCTTTGTAGGTAAACTGTGAGCTAAAACTGCAGATATCTCTAAATTGGAGTAAAAGTGGGAGCATGCAGCCGACTCTGTCAGAGGAGTTCTAGTGCTAAGAATGGTAGGCAGGTACATCGCAATGTAGTTGTGAAGCCAAGAAGGACAGACAGACACCTGTTGGAAATTGACACACCTTCCCCCCACACACGGGCACCAGGTCCTGCCAGCTCACCACACACACCATGAGTGAAGTCTGCACACACATTGAGGTGACAGCTTAAGTCCTTGGTTTGGAATCCTTTGTGTTGGCAAGCACGTGCGAAAGTTTAATATTTCGCATGTTTTTTTGCGCTGAGTGTGTATGAATCACGTAGAACATTACGGTATGTGCAGTGCCCGACAGAGCCGTCACATTATATATAAATAGAAAATCCCCGCATTGAAACGACTAGGTAGGCTTGCTTCGCTCTCCAGTAATATTAACCTAAGCTTTCCTGCAATGCGCACATTAACCAGCGCTTGCAGCACACACATACGAGACAGCTAACAAATGATAGGTGAAGTTTTGTAACACGTTTTCTACAATTATTATAATCACTTTGTGTCTTCATCTCCATGAAATTTATGTTTTAAGTGATTTTCTTCAGTTTACTAAAATTAATTTGGTATTTCTATCAGATAATACACCCCACTTACTTTCCTAACATGCATACAACTATTTATACTCACCTCCCACCAATAGCAACAGGTATAATCCTGCTCCGATGACGTCGTTGACCTCTATGGACCTCCCCCGTCGTCTGGAACACGGAGAAGACTACTCCGGAGTAATGGTGGTAGGCGGGGGAGAGTGCGGGGTGGAGTAACACTTGCTCCTTACCCCCCAGGAGACGAAAGAGAGAGACGACACTCTGGATCTCCTGCCACGCCCGCCCTGCCATCACCCCCACCTGCAGGAAGGACAGCGGAGCTTCATACACATCATATTATTAGAGAGAGGTGCACCATGGGATATACTGTATACAAGTGATTATGAATGAATCTACACATACTTATACAGCACATATATAGGGTCCTTAGAAATGTAGTACATAAATGTACATACACTATCATGCATTGGCATTGAATGGTCATGATTATGGGTATACAGTTGAGACAAGCCAATACTTGAATTAAAGATTTCTTACAACAATCTTTATCTTTCCTAAGTCTTTAGTATTGCTTTTCGGTCACATACGTATTTGTACTTTGTGGCAGAAAATGGCGGTGAACGAATGCATATAAACTGGTTAGGTATACACTGGCTAAACTGCAGCAGTTCTTCGTCTGTGTGTATATAGCTACCTTGGACTTATCTCTGAGGAGAGGTTCCAGAAGAGAATGAGACTCATCCACTGGAACTGAAGAACCAACCAACTTCAGTAGAGTCCCAACCTAGAGGATGTGGTGGGGAGAAATGTTGTATAAATAGACCATGCAATAAAGAAAGAGGAGGCAAAGACAAAGAGGCAAGGAAATGGAGAAGTAAAAGCATAAAGTAATGGGGAACCCGAGGCAAAAGGAGATGAAGTGATCAAGCATGGCAAGATGATTGACAGTAGGGTTAGGATATGTTTGTGGGGGACTGGCCCGCCATAGGTAAGTCCCATAAATCCCCAGAATGTACCCTTTCAGAAAGTCAAGGATCTTCTCCGCAAATCTTGTGGCTTACAACCAGTTTACGAAATTATGCACAGATAAAAATTGTGGTGGGTAGTTCCCGCTTTGCTTATGTGACGCAAGCATGCGCAAAGTAGGTTCAACTTTTACTTGCAAACAACTGAACATCTTCTTTGTAACATATTATACGCAAGATGCATAAGAGAAAAATGTTTTCTTAAAAAACTTGAATACGCCCATTGTTGCAGTCACAGACATAGACGACCCCATTCCTTGAAATAGTTATTCCAGTTGGACGGTTGAACTGTCCCGGTCCATTTCCTTGCGTGCCAAATGATGTCAGAAAGTGTCCCTCTTTAGTGAAGACTGAGATATTGTTAGCAGAGTCACTAACATAGACTATGTTGCTTGAGTCCATGGCTATTCCGTTCTTTCCGCTTCCTCTCTTCTCAAACTGTCGAATGTACTCTCCATCTGCTGTGAACACTTGTACTCTGTGGTTCAACGTATCAGCAATGTATACATTCCCAGCGTCACAACTAACTCCAAATGGTTTATCGAACTGCCCATTGCCTGAGCCACTGGAGCCAAATGTC